CACACACGAACAATATAGTTACGTGTGACATCGTGGTGTAGAATAAAATCGAGGGTAGATAGGAGGGTGTTAGGCTAGAAGTAGCGAGAGAACGAGGAGCGCGTGGCGCGAAACCGCGGGAAATTTTAACGTGAGCCAGCGATATAAAACAAGGGGGCGTGTGATTGAATCCCATCGATAACGGTGGATCGTCGTGCGTTCGCTACTCGTTTCGACTCGACAACGTGCAATCGTCGGCGGATCGTGTTTCGATAGAATTGAAATCCATACTCGACTTTTGTAAGCTCTCGCCCCCTCGACCGTGTATCGCATTATCCTCGTTACGTGTCGCGCCGAAACTTTTAATTACCTTCAGAGCAATCGTTGCGTAAAAGTGTAACCTGTGTCGCCCGCTTTTTTCCCCTCTCTCTCTTTCTCTCTCCTTCTCACCGTTGTTACACTTCCTCCTTTTTTTCGCACCGTGGGCTGCACTTTTTCTTCCGTGGGCGTGAGGAGTGTCTGTTTCGGAGGAGGATATTTCTGGTTCATCGTTAACGATCGAGGGCCGCGATTATGTGCAAATTCGCGGGAGTAACGAACGATCGAATACTGGAGACACGAAGTCGCGGCTAGGCCGGCGTGTAGTGGTTAAAAATCGTTGATTTGCGAGGCGTCGTTCCGCAGGTTGGGACATCGATGGAACGCGGCCGCGACGAAAAATACCGGCCGCGCGGCGATAAATATCCGAAATTTTTGCCGCACGCCGCGCGATTATTTATCGCGCCATCGAGATACAACGTAATCCCTGAATTATAATGTCCGACCGGTTAAATAACGGGACACCCAGTGAAATTAATTAGAAATATCAACCGCGGTTATAGGTGACGGATGGAACGATCGAATCCGCAGGAAACGAGTACTCTAATGTCGTGTCCTCAACACGAACCACGCGACCGATCACACCCACCGTTGACTTGCATCGCTTCTATCTCCCTGCCAATAAGGGTTCGCGAAAGAGGCCTTTTTCTAGGAAAGGCGTTGATTGGCCCTTTTTCCGAATTAGCAGCTACAAAAAGATGTATAAAGGTAGCTTTCGCAAGCCCGAAACCAGAATATGTACGGAGAGAACCAGAGCGTGTACGAAGTGTACATATTAAAAAAAAACGAACAACGTAGTTTAACCTAAAACTAAACAACCAATAGGGAAACATCCATCGTGATATCTTCCAACCGAGAAATAAGATCACGGTAACAAACATCTAAAAAGAGGGTAACACTTCCGGTATCGATCGTAGACGGAGTGCGATAGCGAGATTAAAATTCGTAATCTCTGTTAATTCGGTAAATAGAATCGAAAATACCGTGCTATTTCAATCAACGTGCACGACGAAGTATCGAGCTGCATTCGAACGAGAGAAAAAAGGAATAAACGTTGCCCGAAATGGCAAAGCGCGATACTTCTAAATTGAATATTAGAACAACGCTGCCGCTAGGTGTCAGTTCAATTCGGTTTTCATCAATTTCAATATCAACGAAAACACGAATTTTCACCCCCGATGTTCGCGTTAACGGACTCTATTCCGTCTGCCGGCTGATTCCGGGCCAACCGGGACACGGAAGCTTATTTCCAGCCGGTTGAAAATAGGTGAACGTACGTGGTGAAAAATATCGCGTGATTTAGCGAGATCTGACTTCCTCGCGGACTCTTTTGTCCCGCGAAAATAGCGGCGTAGACTTGCTTACCAGATGCGATCCTGTCCTTTCCTTTTCCTCTCTTTCTCTCTGTTCTCGCGGATCCGAGGCGGAAAGTGGAAGGTTTCGAAGGAAAGGAGAGTGTGTCCCCGGCGCGCGATATTTTCATTTCCCACGCGGGAGCGAGAGACGGCGGGACAGAAGTTGGTAAAGCGAGAAACCTCGAGGAGAACGAACGCGTTAAAGTGGTGCCTATCGATTCAAGCCGCAAAGCCGCAACCGATCCAGGCATTTGTCAACGACGACAGGAAACGGTGGCCCACATAGGGCGGCGCCTCCTATATACCCGGACACATTTCACATTTCCGTGTACTCTCTCTCTCTCTCTCTCTCTCTCTCGGTTACACTTCACCAAGGGACACGAAGTTAGTATACCGAGCAGAACGAGTAAGAGTGACCCGAGTCGAGGCACAAGCGCAATTATTATTACGTCCATTAGAGAGAGGCGCGTATTCCATTGAAACGGTTTCGAACCGGCCGAGGTTATTATCCTATTGAGCTCGTAAGAAACAGCCGAGCCGCGCGATGTCGTACGACATCGTCTTACGACATCCTCCCTCTGCTGAGCAACGGAACATGGCGCGACAACCGCCTGGTTGGCTGCCTTCGCCGTCTACGGCCCCTCCGTCCAACTTCTCGACCACGAGAAACACAAGCGCGACGTGTAACGAGCGGGACCGTTTCTCAAAGGGTGCGTGTGCGCGCCGCTGGTTCCAACGTTCTAACAACCGCGGTAAAACGGAAGTCAGAGGACGGAGGAGATCTGTGCTTTCGCGTATATAGACGGGACAAGAGCAGGTTGAATATCTCCTCGTATAATATATTCGTAACACGTTCGATGGTGTATCGGTGGTGTTTCATCCAAGTAACGAGCCTGGTGCGCTTACGAGAAGAGAGGGCAATCTTCTGTCCGAAAGGAGGCGTACGATGCAGACGGGACGTGGCACGATTCGAGCGTAAGACCAGACGAATGAAAGTTAATTGAGAGGTCGATGGAACGATTAAGCGGACGGTTTGTCGGCTGACTGATGCGTTTACTGCGTCGACGCGGCCACGTTATACTTGGCGATAGATTGTGGGGGGCTGTAAGGGGAATCAGAAATTGCCGCGTAGATTGCAACGCGAGGAACGTGTTCTCACGTGTGTGTGTGTACGTTATTAGAGCGACTCGATGGCGTGGATCGATGTCGTCTCTTCGGAAACGAGCACCTCCTGTCGGTGTATTCGATTTCTGGTGAAAGAAAGTCGCGCAACCTTCGTTCCATCGTCGCTTCGCGTCACCGTGACAGAGAGGAAGTAGCACGAGAGCAGAGAGACGTTTCGTGGAATTTCAATATCGATCTTCGTCGTTGCTCCGGGCCACGAATGTAATTGTCGCAGCGAAGGAGAAGAAGGAGGAGGAGGAGGAGGTGGTGGAGAGAACGGGTTGATCGAGTTTTATTGAAGTATTCCTCGATCGTTTAGCGCGCATACCGCGCTCTTCCTCCTTCAAGATCGTCCTGTTTCCTCCTTCAAAATCGTCCCCTCTGCCCTCGTAAAGCGACCGACGTAATAATTACTCGCAGCGCGAGTGTATATCTTTTTTAGCTGCAACGACAAAACAGCGCTGCCCCGTTGTAAAGAAAAAAAAAGGAGGTTCGTGGAGAGAGAGAGAGAGAGAGAGAGAGAGGAAGAAGGTAAAGCGTCCTACGTTCTGCCTAGTCATAATGGTGGCACGTCACGTGCGCTGCTGCGCTCAACGATCTAGGAGCGCAATAATAAATTGCTGTACCGGGCATAGTTTTATCGTTCCATTTACGGCGACGACTCCTTGGCCTCGGCTCTCGTTTCCGAATCCGATGGGACTATAAAGATAAATAAGGACGGCTCGAAGGTAAACGGTCGAAGCAACGACGGTGTACAACCGTCTGCGAGGTCGTTAAACAAGCTTCAACTCTTGGCGAGTTAGACGCGTGCGCGCTGAAAGCAATAGCAACCGGGAGGGTAAGAAAAAAGAAGAAGAAGGAAAGTTAAATAACGAACTCGACGCCTTTACTTTTTTAACGACAACCGCCCCTGGAATATTATTGCACAGGCTCGTAAGTGCGTTACGAGCTCGCCCAGCTATTAGTCACCTGCCTTTATTTCGCCTCGGTCGATCCGTAATTCAACTATCGACGTTTTCTGCTTTCTTTTCTCTTCTTCCCCCTTCGTCCACTACTTTCACGCGCGCCTCTCTCGCCCGATAGTCTACGCGATAATTTACGACGTCTCGTTCTTGCGCAATCATCGGTGATCGGCACGACGTTACGCGGTTCCGCGTTTTCGCCACGCGTTCGAGGTGATTCCCGACGATGGGGGTTGTAAATTTACAACGGCGAGGTAAAAATGTTTTATGTAGCCACCGGTGACGACGGTCGGGGGTCGGCTTGCTTGTTTTATCGCCGCTACTGGAATTCTACACCTGCGACGTTATTACCTTCGTAATTATTTTACTTAGGCTGGATGTTTACCGTTTTACGATTAATAACGCCGTATTATTATTCTTCCCTCTTTTTTCGTGCCTTATTTTTTTTGCGAAATGTGAGGGAATATTGCGTTACACCGCGGCGAGGCAGTGAGCAATTGCTGTTTCGCGATGGAATTTTCGAATTTTAAACGGAGAATACTTGTATTAGAGGTGCGAGAGAAGAGTGTTTCGGACTGAGTATAGTCGGTGAAACCTGAAAAGACAAGGGCTCGAGATCTCAGTCAAGGCCGTGTAAAGTGTGTCTTAACTTTGTATGCGACTGTGCCGCTACTTAATACCTTAATTCACGACCTCGCTGTATTTCCTCCATCGACCATACTCGAGGATATCGCGTGAACGAAGGGTGCGTGGCCACCCTAGGACTTGTGTGGACGTAATTGAATGTTGCCGAGGAATGTTTGCCTGAGATAAGAGAAAAAAATACTAACAGAGAGAGAACGTACGACTGGAGGAATAAAAGGGTTTGGAAGATGCGTGCGCGAGGTCAGCGTGGAAAAATCAGGGCAGTAGGTCAGCGTGGAAAAACCAAACTACTAAACCAGCGAGTCGGCGTTCGACTTAAAAGATATAAAGTATTTGAAATGACAGAAATCGCCAGACCTTACACAACGAATACTCCATCGATTAGTTTATTCTTTCCAAGCAAGCGATTATTTTCGCTAACGAATCGTTGATTTTGTAAAGAACAAGGGGCGTGCTACGATCAACGCCATCCATAATCTGGCTCTCGTTGCTACTGACACTGGGAACGAGGACAACGTCGTCAGCGACGAACATGACGAACGTGTCTCCGTTCGCCTCCACGGTGAAACCGATCACGACCACGGAAGTAGTTTATCAGCGGTTCGCGATCGAACCGATGGATCAGACCGCGGTGATTGGCAGCCGAGTGACGCTTCCTTGCCGGGTCCTCGACCAGAAGGGACCTATTCAATGGACAAAGGACGACTTCGGCCTTGGCGCTGTCAGAAACCTCACCGGTTACGAGCGTTACGCGATGATCGGGAGCGACGAGGAAGGTAAAGCCGAAAGAAAATTCTGAAAGTAGCCGTCTAAGAAGATTATTCTTCCTTGATGAAAACGTACAACGTGTTTCCCTTTGCCCATTTTCTACCCCTTACGCTCTCTCAAACGACTCCAGCTGAACGCATTTTTGCGAGCTGTTTGCAGAAAAAGGGAACGGAATGTGCTGTGTTTTCTCTATGTCTTCGTTGCGTTTAAATTACACGGTGTGCTTAAGGAGAAACCTGCTCCTCCGTAGACATTCGCGAAATTGCTTTCCCCTTTGTTGCTCGTCCGTAGAGAGAGAGAGAGAGAGAGAGAGAGAGAGGCGGCGGCGAGGAACAGCGATATTGGAAAATGCTTATGTGCATGAACAAATAAGAACTCCGTATTTGCAAACAAGCGGGACCATAGGGGAGGGTTTTGGGTAGAGAGAACAAACCGAATAACGGTGCGTTTCTATCCGAACACCGTCCTCTCTCTCTTTCCACTTTTATTTTCTCCGGTTGCGAGACGCAAGAGGGTAGTTTTCTTTTCAACGTTCCGGTGTACTCGCCGTTTGATCCGCCTAATTCTGAAATTCTCGACACCCTGATAAACCTACGACCACCTCTAAACTCATTCGGGGGATGAAGCTCTGACGAAATAACCGCGTACACACACAGACACCCTCTTCCATCGAACGGACTATCCTGGCGGAATTAACCGCACGTAGAGAGTAGGGGGGACGGGTAGGGAAAAGTTTCGATATAATCGAACGAAACGCACTCGTAGATAGATGGACAAAGGAAGGTGGAGAAAGGAAAAAGGTGAAAAACAGAGTCTCTCTTTTCACCTATCACATTGAAACCACCGGCGGTAGGCAGTAGGCGGAGAGAGGTGGGGGGAAACGCGAGAGGGAATAGATATCCAGCTGGATGACCGGGAACAGACGTAGCTCCGGGTGCAAAGGGTTGAACATATTTTTCGGAGGCAGACTAGAAATCGAATGAATCTCGATGGAGGCTCCGGCCGTGGGGTCGCGCGTTCCCACCGACAGCGCTATTTCCTTCGCGCTCTCGTTCTCCCTTCTTTTTGTGCCCCTCCCGCTACAGCCGCGGTGCTGTGTTGGCCAGCGGCGGCACGCAGCTGCGATACACGGCGGGCCAGTTTGCGCGGGCCAAATTCAATTTCCTGCGGCCACCTATTGATTTTTTTTCCTTTTTTTTTTTCGTTGCGTCGTCGAACTGCAGGGGGAAAAAAGAGGTGAAATAGAGGGAAAATCTGACCAGGTTTCGACAGAGGGGACGTGAGAGGAGAGGAACGACGATGGAAGCGAAAAGGGGTTGGAGAAGAAAGGGTTGAATGGCCTGTACGTGACCTTGCGCTAGGAAATTCCTGGAAAATGGAGGAATTCGAATAGTCCTGCTTCGATTCATTCGAATATCCTCGAGGTTCTTCGCGTTTCTAGCTTCAACGCGACTGTGTTTGGACGTTACACGCCGGTAAAATCGTTACCAGAACGAAAGTAGAAAAAGAGAAGGAGGTGGAATGAATATAAAGCGAGAGAAAAGGAGAATTGGACCGGTAGGTAGGTGTCGGGGGAAAAATTCAAATGGGAGCCCCTTCGGGCGTTATTTAGAATAACGGGGCTGCTCGCGAGGCCGAAGTTCCAGGCCGGAAAGTCACTGCGCGAGGGAAAAAGAGAGAAAGTCGATAAACGCGGTCGTATTAATGGGTCGCGAGCGACAAGTTAAATTGCCTTTCTAACGAGTTCCGAAAAATGTGTCCTCCTCCGTTGACGTAACATTTGCTCGTCCGTGTTCGACCGTTCGTCCGTGCTCTCCCGAACTAAACGTTCCACTGCGGAGATACGCGGTGGTTGAAACGGGATGGACGAAGGAAACTCGGCAGATTGGGGAAGGGAGGGTAGAATTAACGACGATTCATCGACGAAAGTTTTCTTTGGCTCGTTCGAGATCAGTGAATCGGTAAAATTGAAAGGTCCCACCCCCTCTCTCTCTCTCTCTCCCTCTAGCTGAGATCTTTTTCAGTTGGTTCCAGGCAACTGGGAATTGGCCAGTTGCACGCAGGCCAGCAAGGATGGACCGAACCGGAGGCCCATTTATTCGATTACCTGCCAATTAACCACCGCACGTACCGCAAAGAATTCCTTTGGCAGAACACAGAACTGGCCGATCTAATCGATTCGCGGCCGCAGGCTATTTTGCCTGGCGTGGCTGGTGCCGCGCGCCACAGATTTAGCAATTTCTCCGTGACCGACACGCGGTCGCGAATCTATGCCATCGTGCCTATTAGGTTTTCACGTAATATCGAAACCCACGCGTTACGATAATCGTCGTTCTTACCGTTCGACCGATGGAACAGGTGTTGCAAAACGTCTGCTCGTCTCGCCTCCTTATCTAAACGTTCGTTTCACCGTCTCCTCGCACCTTCGTAGCTAAAAGAATCGCACTTTGTTGTGTTTTTCCCCCCTCCCCTCTCCTCTGGTCCGTGTCTAATGTTGGAAAAAGCGAGGCTGTAAAAAGCTGCAGCGTTTCGAGGTTTATCCAGTGAAAAATTTGCACGTTCCGCCGCGATAAAACATCGGCCCAGGCCGTCCTACGCTCTGTACACCGCGCGTATCGGCCGGCAGGCAGCTTTGCCGGTGCTTGTACACCGGCTGCACCATACGCCCTCCTTTTGCCTTCTCTATTTGCTCGGAGGGCCGCGCGTTTCGCACGACGAGGATTAGCCCGACAGCCGATTCTGCGATACACCGTGTACATTCTGTATCGATATTATATAGGCAGGCTGTACGCGCGTGCACCAGTTCACCCATCGACCTATATATTTCTCTGTGTGTGTGTGTATTAACGTACGTAGATTCGATAGGTGTATACGTATAAGCGAAAATGCGGGGAAAGCTAGTACAGCGTATCCAGCACGCCATGCAGCCACGGCGCGGCGGCTAGCTCCGCGCTGCGCTCTCTCGTAACAATCACGAAACGATAAGATTGGTGGCAGGCGAGAGGCAATTTAAGCCAGCGGCCCCTTCATATACAGGGTGTACCAGGTAACTCTATTACCCGAGCTGTTTCCTTTACTTTTCGAGTTTCGAGACGCGGACCGACTTTGCTTCGTTCGCGGAAGTTGCGTGCGTGCCCCCGTTCTTGCACCCACGATGAAAACGTTTTCGTTTCTGAGCGTGTGTGCCGTTCACCATCCCCCTTCGAACTGATATCGAGGTCAACGTCGTTTTATCCCAGTCGCGTGTGTGTTTGTGCTTATGTGTCGCGAATTTACAGTTTTTCTTTCTTTTTCTTTTCGGTTCCATAGTGTTCCTCGCGCGTATACTTGGAAGGGAAACATAGATCTGGTTACGGGAAGCCGTACTGGAGTACTCTTATTAGCATAAAAATGTAAGTGGTCTGCGTTCACTTAGAAGTGCCTGGAATCATAGGCCATTCAACTCGTTTTAAAAATTCCATCGTGCAGTAACCGTGCTTCTACGATAGGAAGAAGATATCCGGGCCGTACCTCGAGGAAAAGCACTTTAGACGATAAGGTCAGTCGAGACACCCTATACTTTTCCTTCCTTTAGCAGGTTTCGTTAGTGGAGCGCGGAGAGACGCTTGTCTCGTTCGATCTGCTCGCAAAATTATTGCAACCGTTAACAATGACTCTACGGTACGATCGTAGGAAATCCTGTGTATCGGTGTGCACGTTGCCACGAAAACGATCGACGACAGACTCGAACTTCGCCGAGTTCTCTATTGTTCGAAGTCGCGGTCCGGCTAGCCACGGCCACCGAAGTCACACGAGAGAGCCGTACACCCCTACGGCCAAGTTTCCACCGTTTAATTCCCCCTTAATTCCGTCGGGATTAATTAATTTAGAAGCATTTCGTTGCAGCCCGAGGAAGAATCGCGGCGGAGCTTTTGGTGCTGCGAATTCCCGATAGAGAACCGTCGCGCGGTGTCGAATCGACCGTAAATTGCAACCCGCCTTGTTTGTTTTCTCTCCTACCTTGCACACGACTTGATTCTCTTTACCCGAGACCGTGAAGTTGCGTCGAACGTGAAAGTCGTGTATCCACCGAGGGAGAAGAAAAAGAGAAAAACCGAAAAAGAAGAGGGGAAAGAGAATTTCGTTAAAATAGGTCTCTCGAAGAAAGGTCGAAGAGTCTTGATTCTTCCGTAAATTCTACACGACCACTGGCCAAAAAACTGTTCTACCCCCGGGTATACAAGGAGGACTCGTGACTTCCCATCAAACTCGACGGAACAAATATTTTCCCCGCGTCTCGACGATTTACCCTCGGCAAACAAATCTTCCACGCCAGGGTATCGAGGGGTTTTCGAAGACTGTCGATACAATCGACGCGTTCAGAAACATCCCGAGATATCGGAAAGTCAAAGACACGCTCATCCTCGAGCCATCCCTGTGCCCGTTCCAGATCGCGAGTCTCCACGACCAAGTAATCACAATCAGCGTCGCCGGCCGCTTAAAGATGCAAACATCGGTTCCGGTGAGCGAGGACGAGAACTGCAGTTCCGTTTCCGGGAGCCAGGCAGACCCGATTCACGGTACACGGTTGCGACCGCGACACGAGTTCGCGAACAATAGAGTTGGAACCGTCCTTACACTCGAGTTACTCTCAATTTGCGCGAGTCCCGTGCAGATTGGTAAACAGGTGCAACCGTACGCGAAGCGACAACAGAAGGTTCGCAACGAGGAGAAACTTCTGCCAGCCTGGTAGAAGTTGAACGAACCGTCGTCGAAGAGATGATATCGATGTATCGATGCGGCAGGTTATATACGCCTTTATCCTATCAGAGGGTAGCCGCGGCCTGCAGCCGGTGTCATGTACGTGTCTCTGCTTTTAATCGACGAATTCGCACATATCCGCGTATACGCGACATTGCCTGCAAAGTCTTTAAAACGGGGTAACAGCCGCGCGCGTGTCGCGCTCGCGGCCAACTTGAAATTAGTTCCGAAACATTTGCCGCACACGCTGCGCTGGCTGTGCTAGGTT